ATTGAGGCCGGCTAGATCAGTCATGATCGCAGCCGTAACAAGTACCAGTAATCGCTTTATTTTCCACGGGAGTTATTGACCTGACATTACATACTCGTGAAGTTTTTTGAAAGGTCTCTTTTATATGACTGCTTGCCTGCGATGGCAAGTCCCCTTGGCAGTACTGTCTTACTCTTGGACCGCAGAGCAATTGGCTTTCGTTAAGTCGGTACCTAAGGAATCGCAGGAGCTGTCTGGGCAGCACTAACCAACCTCTATTTATACCTTAAGTCGTTGGAATTACACTTCCCCTGGGCACTGGTGAATATTAATCTCCGGTCTGTTTTTTCCACGGCCGGTGCCGCGTGCGTTTGAAAATGAATCGGTTCTTTTTCGTTTTATTGCTAAGTAGAATGTTCTTCGTCGGTTATATATCATTTGCCGAATCTAACGAGAGCTGTTTTCAGCTTGCTCGATTTAGAATCCGTTGTTACAAAGTTTGTAAGGCTTTTGTCGGATCAGCCGAGTGTAGCATCTCGTTGTATCTGCCAAGTTTCATGCACACTTGCCGGCTTCTCACGAACAATCCTTGCTTTTCTGGCCCGTCTGGAATGTTTTCATAAAAGGACTATGCCGTCTGCTGGGTCTGAGACCTAGGCAGATGTGGATACTTTGCGCAGCGTCACTCGAAAAACTGGCATACCAAGTGCTCCCTAAATTTCCTAAGATGCCAATAGCCGAACTGGGACATGGCATTCGTGGCTCATTATGAGATAACTCCTTGCTATCCCCACTCATTACCGCGTCCAAAGACTTCCTTCTAGGGATCTAGGCAGTGGTTGTACTCCGGATCACTACAATCATCAGGTTGAATCGCAGATTATTGGTAAAAAGCAGAAGTCACCAGGAGGAAGGTCTTAATGTGTACGCAACCCTGCATTGCTGTATAAGCCAGATTGGTTGGTTGGTAGCCCTTGTTGGATCAGGGGTCCCCGCCGGAGTCCAAACTGGGTCCAGTTAGGAGACGGAGAAAAGCCGCAACCTCAGCCGGCTCGAGCCAAAGGTCCACAGGGGTGAGTTGGGTGCCTGGCCGGGAACTGCAGGCG